CTCACTGGTCGGCTGGGCGCTGCTGCAGCCTGACCAGGGCCCGGGCGGCCGTGTGCAGGTGTCACTGTTCCCGAGGGCCTGGGGAGCAGAGAGTGGCATCTTTTCGGTGAGAGCCGCTCGTGTGGCAGGGCAGCCCAGGGTTGGTGTACTGCTTACTGCGTAGTGCTTGTCAGTAAAAAGTTAGGTAATTGGAATTTTATGAAAAAGTTTAAACAGCAGTTAGTATTTGTTTATATTTTAATATTAGTAGCAGTGAAAACATCGACAGCATGTATTGTGAGAGAGAGAGAGCATCTAAAGTTCCTGACATGTGCACTTTGCTTTGCCTCGTGTCCCTTCCAGATCTTCGAGAGGATCTTGTTCATATGGGCCATCCGCCACCCTGCCAGCGGCTACGTCCAGGGCATCAATGACCTGGTCACCCCTTTCTTTGTGGTCTTCATTTGCGAGCACATAGGTAAGGTCACAGCATGCTGTTTTTTCTCACACATGTTGAACATAACTTCCGGGGCCCTACTATGTGTGATTATGCCAACATCAAATATTGCCTTTAAGTTTAATGTTGTTAACGATGCTAATAGAAACAGTGGTTTTCTTGTTGAAGTTAGCTTTAAAGTGTTTGAACCCAGGTGCCTGCCCACCGGAGCCATGCAGGTGCAGTTGTGATTACTGATGTCTTGTTAGGCTTACGCGAGAAAAGGCAGGCTGCTCGGGAGCGTGAGTGATTCCGGCTCAGGGCTGCCCACGCGGCTCTCATGGCCTGGACTCGAACCCCGAGGTTGAGGTGGTGGGATATTAGTGGATGTTTTGCGTACAGCATAGAAACAGGAGCGTATTTGATTGCATTTCTGCAGCATTTCACCACCTCTGCTTCCGATGCACTGGTGGCGTTTCATATTTGGGGAGTATTAACTACGTGTACAGTAACTGGTTTGAGGGAGGCTGGGGCTGGGCTTGGTGCTGCTGTGTTACCTGTGTGTGTCTCCTCTGTGTCTCAGTCGACTGTAGGACAGCTTTACCCACTGTGAGCATGGTTTACGTTTAGAAATTCTGACAATATAGGTGAGGGATCTGCTATTTAATCCATCTATAGATAAAAATAAACAACGAGGCAGGGCTTTACTCTTCAGTTGTAGCATCTATATTTGCAGCTGATTTTAACTCGCCTTCACGTGACCCTGCTGTCCTGGTCTCTGTTTTCATTAGTGTGTTTCTAGTTGGCCTGGGTCCCCATCCCCGCATTCGGAGACACTGGGTTCCCGCAAGGATGGGTCACCCTCGAGGATGAAACACAGCTCAGTGCACTTTACTGCAGCCCCTCTCACACTTTGTTTCCACTTGTGATGTCATTGAAGGTCTTTTCATTGCTAAGCAACTAATGAGACCTCGGGCTCCCCCCTAGTCATTCCCGAGTTGGGAGAGGCCACTCGAGAGCTGGGGCCTGCCTGCTGGCCCCCCTCTGACGCTAATGGAAGCTCTTAGTGCTCCCTAAGCAGGAGGCCCTTGTCAGTAGACGTCAGAGCTGTTAATTGAAAATCAGCCAAGATGTGACTAGAGGACTGATGTTCCCTGTTAACTAGACCACGTAATTAACATGTAAGGACGTTTGTCCTAACTGCTGTTGCCCCAGTCGTGTGTGGAGAGGTCCTGGCGTTCCCGAATGCATTCTTTGGGTTAGCAGCGGGACGGGTCAGAGGGCTGGAGACATGGACGCGGTGCTAATTGTCCTGAAGAGGGAGCAGCTGCAGAAATGAGATTGAGAACGGCATCTGCAGCTGGATGGAGGTTTGCTGCCGGGAGCCCCTGAGATTGGGTCAGGATGGGCTTGTCTGGGGAGTGCAGAGGGCAGGGCCCTGTCCTGATCCGTGTCCCGGGGTCCGTGAGGTTTGATTGTGATTGGCTCAAGGACCGAGGTTGGCTGTCCCGCCTCTGGGTCAACGGCTCTGGGGAGGCGTCTAGGCCAAGGCCACTGCTGCGGGCCCCCCGTTGGTCTGGCCTGTGTGCACCTGGGAGCAGGGGTGCTGTGGTGCTGCCTCCTTGGCTGCTGTTCCTCCTGAGCGAGTGGACACCAGGAGCTTACAGCCTGTGTCAGGTGCAGAGGGTCCAGGAGATGTTGCTGGTGACGCTGTAATTGTGTCCCTTGTTGTCTCAGCCTGGCTTTTCTGTCCAGAAAATGGCAGCTCTGTGCTCTCCTTCAGGCCCATGTCTGGGTGTGGAGAGGGAGGTGTGAAGGGCACAGGGCAGAGGCCAAAGGGCATGTCAGCTGAGGGTGCCTGTTCTCAGCGTCTTCCCGACTTGCCCTCATAGAGCCCTACCCCCAGCTGCAAGGGGGCCTGGAAGAGCCAGAGGTCAGCGGTCTCCTGGAGCAGAGGACACGGTGCAGGGCCTGGGAAGGACATGGGAAGAGGGCTTTAGAGGCAGGAAAAAGGTGTCACAGGAATCATTGTGGGGACAGTTTCGGGGAGGGAGTGGTGAGCGGCGTGCAGTCGCAGATGTGCAGCTGGAAACTGCTCAGAGCTGTGAGCGTGGGTAAGCGGGTGGAGGGAGTGACAGGCACAAACCTCAGGTAGAAAATGCTTAAGTCACATGCTTGCACGCACACGCACACACACGCACACACGGAGATCAGACTGTTCAGTTAATCTGAGTGGTTTGTCCACCCTCCCTGAGGGAGCAGGCCCCCTGCAGGGAGCCCAGAGTCCGAGGTTCTCTCACTTGCCCACCTTTAAACCTCAGTGAGTGGTGGCGAGAGACCTCTGTATAAAGCATGTTCCTCAGCAGAGGCAGTCACTGCACCTGGTGTCCGAGCGAGGGTGAATGCTCTGAGGTGGCCCTGAGGTCCATCCAGCCCGAGGGCCCAAGCAGAGGCTTGTATGGCCAGAGAAGTGACGTCCACACGGTGATGGCCCAGGTCCAGTAGGACATGTGAGCCGTTGGAAGGTTGTTCGTTTTTAACCTGGAGGGGAGAGGGGAATAGAGAGAGCTTATATAAAGGGTGTAAAGAGAGCGTTAATGGAGCTCCATTTGCAAAGGGTGAGTGGGGAGCATGCTGAGCACAGGCGGAAGGGAGAAGCTCGGATTCAGGGAGACTTGTCAGGTTGTTAGGTCACGGAGCATGGAGCTAATCTGGGTGGGAGGTGATAGTGGGGGCTTGCAGAGGGTGGCTGCCATTGGTGTTTGGGTGCCTGTTTGGAAGTAGACCTCAGAGGGTGGACTGGATGAAGGCGAGAGGGAGGTTGGCTGAGGATGACCCTAAGGCTTGCCCTCACCAGCAGGAAGGGTGAAGTTGCCGCTGCCTGAGAAGGTGGGTGGGGCAGGCTCCGCTCTGGGAGGCTCCGCTCTGGAGGGGTGGCAGGAGCTGGATCTTGGATGTGGACCGTTTGGCGACCTGTCAGACACCCCAGGCATCAGTGGTGCTCCGTCTTTCTGCCTCCTGAGGGAGTGGCAGATGGGGTCCCTTTTCCAGGTCTTGTGTCCACCATGAAATGTGGCCCCTCTGCAGGGCAGGTAGTGGGGGAGGCATGTGGCCCGCCGACTCCCACCTTCCTGCTCGGGTCCATGCTTCTGTTTTTATTTCCTGTATGGGCTCAGTGACAAGGCGGCAGGAAGTTCCGAGGACAAGGAGATGAGAGCGGGGCAGCTCCTTTCACTAAGCTAGCCCCTGCAGACATGTGTAGACAGACGGACGGGTGCATGTCAGCGTGAATGCTGCTGAGGCAGAGCAGCACCTGTCAGGGTCCGTGCGCCGTCTGGGTGCTGTGCATATGAAGCGTCCTGAACAGCAAAGCGCCCCGCTCCACGTGGGCCCTGTGGTACTCTCCAGTCTACACGGGCATGTTTAGTCCCGCTGCGCTCTCTAGGGGTTCATCCATCGCATGGGTTTGTTTTGAGATGTGTGTGTTTGTGGGTAAAACAGCCTAGTCATTTCCCAGCTCTCGTCTCTGCCTGTGCACAGCCTCGGGCCTGCTGCTGCCGCTTCTCTGCCTGAGCCTCACCGTCTGCAAATGGCGGCAATACCTCCCGCCTCCCTCCTCGCTGGGCGGCTAATGACTGAGTGCAGTCACGGTGCCGGGACGCCTTCGAGATAAAACCGCAGTGTACCCTTGCATTATTATTACAGCTCAATGGCATTTATATTTAAATCGTTACTGTTGCAATAATCACACACCGTTTTGCCAATAAGACACAAAGCTCCTTTAGGAGAACATTCTAAAAGGATAGCATTTGCGGGGCTGGGCAGCAGAGTCTAATTCAGGGCCTTCGCAGTGTGTTTCATGGGTCATGTATTATGTATTTCCAAAGAATAATCGAGGGGTACAGTGTTGCCTGGGGCCGTGGGGACGGAAGACATGGAGTCGGAGTGGCTGGACTAAGCGATTTGGCGTCTGGATCAACAAGTTGCGTTGCACTCGGGTGGGGGCTGTCACCAGCCTTTGACGCTGGTTTTGCGCCTGTGGACTTGACTTTGTGATAATGTGTCATTGGGGCCCAGCGCCTCTGTCAGCTGTCCGGTTAGGGCAGAGATGTGTGGCGGGTGAGCATCTCGGAGGTGACTGATGGCTTTTCCTTTCAGAGCCACACAGAACACACAACCCTGATTGATAGCCAGCGGAATTTGTGCTGCGCGAAGCAGAAGGCTTCATGCAGAGCTTGTTCAGCAGGCACTGCCTTTCCTTAGGCAACCTGACTCTCCAGTCCCTGGGGATGTGCAGGTGATGACTGGAGGCTGTGGTGTGGAGGGGACGTGTGGAAGTGGCTCATTTTGCCGGAAGTCACATCTGGCTTATTGGAATTGGACCAGTTACTACACTTAGAGCAGAAGTCAGCGAATGGAGGCTGGTTGCCATTAGTTTTGAAAACAAGGTGTGTGTGCTGAGCTGTACAGCACAGGGCACATGGGCATTCAGTGGGTAGATGCCACCAGAGGCTCCATGAGTGGGCTCTATCCACGGTCGCTGCTGACCACTCCATATGCCCTTGATGCTGTGCAGCCCATGCACCCACCTGCAGCACTCCCTCCTCCAGCGCTTTCTCCTTGGGAGGCTCCAGGATGGGGCCTCCGGGCCTTGCCACCCCTGGTCCCTCTGCCTGTCCCCAGGCCTGGGCTGCCCGTGTTCTCCCCTGTTCTCATTCCCTACTCGGCTGACATCTCACTTACTGGTGGCTTCACCTCTCTGTGTACTTAGACATCTACCAGTCCTTTTAGTGAGTTTGTGACCCAAAACTATGCCAAATACTTTTCATGTCTTTTTGGGGAAAGGAGGCGTAGTTTCATCAGATTTGGATGGGGGAGAGCTGACCTGCAAGGCTAAGACCTAGTGCTCTCAGATAGTAAAAGTCCAGATCTGCCCCCGAGCTCCACCTCAGTGTCCAGCTGGCTCCTTGGCATCCCCTTGAAGGTACAGGAAGCATGGAGTCTGCCTCAGGGCAGATGCAGCATTGTCCTGCACCAGCTTC